TAGCCTCTTTATGCTTTACAAAGGAGAAAAACGAGATACTATTGGAATATGTAGTTCACCATGCCAGTGCTCAGTCATGTCTGACTCTTCGTGACTCTATGGTCTGTAGCCTGCCAGGCTCCTCTGTCTATGGGATTTTCCAGGCAAGAATACTAGCGTGGGTTGCCAATCCCTTTTCTAGGGCACCTTCCTGATCTGGGGATCGAACCCATGCCTCCTGAGTCTCCTGCATTGGCGGGCAGATTCTTTACCACTGAGCCTCCTGGGAAGCACACACGTCATAGAGTATGATAATTAAATAAGTTAAGACATGTAAGACATTCATTAAGTACTTGCTATATGCCTGGCACTGTTGCAAGTGTTAATTATCACATGTCTCTTATAAAACTTCACAGTAACAAGAATGTTAACATTTGGGGATTAATTGGAACTGTAGAATCTTATGGGAGACCAGAAAAAGGGGAGATGTCCCCACAAAAATCTAGCTGTGACCCAGCCCATTGATTCCTCAGAGGCCCAGGCTCTCAGCCAAAATGGTTAGCATGAAAGACTTCAGACCAGTTCGCATTCATTCCTAAGCTTACAACCATAAAAGCTCAAGGAAGTAACTTCACCTCAAAGGTCCTTTTTAATGCTTCTGAATGTGATCAACTCTAATCTCAGTACCACAGGGAAAATGTTTTCTTTCTCATAAGGAATGCATGTAAGAGCTCTGCCTTTTGAGCTTAGCCCCCAGATTCTCTGGATTCTTCAAGTAATGGAAGAATGTGTCAGATCTCCTGAAGAAATCCCAGCCTCCACTCTTTCAGGGCTGGAAGAGACACTGCTCAGGGAGGAATGGTTCCATGTGGGGACCTAGCCGGCAAAGACTCCACCCTCATCTGCATTTGGTATGGGCCATTTGCTTAGGAATAAAATTCTGACTTATGAAAAAAAAAAAAAGCTAAGGCCAGAGAATATGGAGTCTGCAGGAAACAAAAGGCAAATGGCACGATGGGATGAGTGTTCAACCTTCCTCGTGTCAGACAGATACCTGGAAGGGTAATGGGAGGTTTCCCTCTAAGGCTGGGAGGGTCTCTCCCTATCTTCTATAAACTATTAATATCCCATGGCTGTGTGAACTAGCCTCCCCTTCTCCTTTTTTAAAATGTGGATGGCAATAAAGAAAGGAAGGTTTCTGTGCTGGACTTGCCTTCTTACTGCCTGCCTCTGAGACTGTTACTCTAAAAAGTTCAACCAGCTTCTCTCATCTGTAGCCTACTTTGCCATCAGGGCGGGTCAGACGGAAATTTGTTCTACGTGGAAACATCCAATTATTTTCCCTTCTTGTCACCAATAAATTTTTTTTTTCCTGCCTCAACCCAATGACTATTTTCCCCTCCCCTCCTCCAAACCATTCTTCCCCCACCCACTCCTGGACTAGCTGCCAGTGTTGGTTCCAACTCCCTACACATTTCAGTAGAAACGGAACAGTTGTTTTCAATTACATTCCAAAGCACAGGCGAAGGTTTCTGCAAGCAGCTTCCTAGTTCTCAATTGACCGTGGCAATAACAGCCTCAGAGAAGAAAACTCTTTCCAGGAAGAATGCAGACCTCACTTACTCAGAAAGCAATTTGAGGCTTCTTTTTCCATTGCACACACACACACACACACACACACACACAATTACTGGGGGCTTTCCGGTGCTCTCATAAGGAAGGGTTTCTCAGCAAAGCATTCCATCTAGAAGTAAGTCCATCAGAGAACAGGATGGAAGGGCCATAAGATAATTTTCTGGCCTCTGGAACTGGGAGGAAACACAAGAAAAGCAGGCATAAAGGCCAAGGTCTTTCATGACTGGACTGTGTAAAATGCAGGCCAAAGTGGGGCCCTCACAGTCTGCAAAGCTAAGTTGCTCCTTCATCTGTAACATGAAACAAACCTTGGAGCGGCAGAAAATGAGAAGTCAGAGTGTTTTAAAGAGCTTGATGATACAAGTCTGGAAACTGGGGTTCTAGGCCCGGTTGGGCCACACACCATCTATCTTGTACCTTCCTTGTGTTTCTATAGAGCCATTTCCCCGCCCTCCCCACCCTGCTGTCTGTCCGGTAAGTCTGCTCTCTTTGGACTAAATCAAGGGCAACCTGGCCCTCTGGCTTCCCATTGGGTTCAGTGGATGGCAGGATGTCAGAAGGGAGGAGGAAGGGATAAGTGTGTGTCCCCTCAGCTTTCTCCCTTCCATTCTCTGAGGTTGGTTGCTTCTCACAGCCAGGGAACCTCTCTCTCCAACTCTAGGAAACCACTGCTTCCTTTGTCCTTCCAGCCTGAGGGGTTGCGATAGCTCCCTGTGGTGGCAAGTCCTGGGTGTGCTGAGCCTGCTTCTTTTTTCAGAACCCTGTCCACATCTATGTGGAGTCCATTGTAAACTGCTTCTCAGTGACCCAGTTTGGGTGTGCCTTCTGGGACCTTGAAGGTTTTATTACTAGATTCGTCGTTATGATGTTTTTAGAGGCAGGAACTCTGAATTCCCCAGGGCCCCTCAGTATAGTTTCATAGAGGAGAATGATATATGAAAGCGGTGACTTTTCATTCTTTCACATGAAAACTGAGGCCCAGAGAAGTAAGTCATTTATCTGGTCTACATCCATATTCTGAAGGGGATCTTGGCAGTTACTGGGGAGAGGATGGAGAGGCTGAGAAGGTGACATGAAAGCCCCCACCAAGGCTTCCAGAGCAGCTATATTTTATCTGCTTAAGAAAATTTTAGGTGGATACTCCAAAATATGCGAGAATAAAGATGATCACTGAAGAGCATGGTTTGGTAAGCAGAAGAGCCCATATGTAGACTTTGAAATGAATGCAACTCTGGATGTTATTTTAGTTGCTATTTTTCAGTTGCTAAGTCATGCCTGACTCTTTGCTATACCATGGACTGCAGCACGCCAGGCCTCCCTATCCTTTACCATCTCCTGGGGTTTGCTCAAAACTCATGTCCATGGAGTTGATGATGCCATTCAACCATCTCTTCCTCTGTCACCCCCTCCTCCTATTGTCTTTAATCTTTCCCAGCATCAGGGTCTTTCCCATTGAGTCAGCTTTTCACACCATGTGGCCAAAGTATTGGAATTTCAGCTTCAGCATCAGTCCTTTCAATGAATGTTCAGGGTTGAATTCTGTTAGGATTGATTGGTGTGATCTCCTTGCTGTCCAAGAGACTCGCAAGAGTCTTCTTCAGCACCACAATTTGAAAGCATCAATTCTTCAGTGCTCAGCCTTCTTTATGATCCAACTCTCACATCCATACATGACTATTGGAAAAACCATAGCTTTGCCTATATGGACCTTTGATGGCAAAGTGATGTCTCTGCTTTTTTAATACATTATTTTAGTAGTAGAACCCTTACTCCAAGAAGAGCCAAAGAAAGTGCAGTAGGAGTATTTTGCAATGCCAGCCCATCACACTGGCAATTTTTTGGCCAAGTAATTCTATCCCACTACTAGTCCAGCTAACTGAATTCAAGTGGATACCTGACTCAGGAAGAATGAATGACTCTATAAGTTAGGCTGAAAAAATTCCTTTCTCTTGAGAATTTGAGCCGGGTGGCCCTGGATTGTAGTCTGATGATATTACGACCTGATGCAGCAGTCATGTAGCCTGGGGATAAAGGAGAGGCTCAGGCTATATGGAGGCTCTGGCTAGCTGAAGCCATGAGGAAATTAAAACTAAGAACCTTGCAGCCTGCGCCGGTCCATTGCCAAGGAAATAGAGCAGGTTCATAGAGATCATCTCTCTTGTTTCCTCCATGTGGTCTCTTGTCTCAGTTTATAATATTTCTCTAGACCTTATCATGCTGGTTATTTTTCCTGCCATTGGGTTCTAAACTTTCTCTCTGAATTTTTACTAACAAATGCCCTTTTCTTGTGCTAGAATGAGAATTGGATAGATAGATAAAGTCTATAGACATATATACATACATACATAGAGGAGAAAGGACAAACCTTTGAACACAAGCCTTCTCTAGCAGATGGAACTCAACTTCCCTATCTCTAAGTGTGAGCTGGACTTAGGGACTCCCTTATAACAAAAGTATGAAAAGGGGAAAATAGTAGCTTCACAGTGGAGAAATCTGTCAGCACTTTAGCTGATCAAAGTTAATATACCTGTGATAAGTCATGTGGATATCATGTATGCCCTGATATTTAACACTTGAAAGGAAAAGACACTTCACCTCTGTGTAGTTCTTCCCCCAAATCCATAATTCCAGTCAAATAGTGAGAAAACATCAGATAAATTCAACTTGAGAAACATTTTACAAAACAACTGACAAGTGCTCTTAGAAAACAAGGGAAGACTATCACAGATAGTCTGTCACAGATGAAAGGAGACCCAGAAGACATGACAACCAAAAGGAAAGTGGTCTCCTGAACTGGATCCTGTAAGAAAAAAGGAACCTTAGTGGGAAAGTTGGTGAGATAAAGTACGTCATTTGGATAATAGTGTTATACCAATGGTCGTTCCTTAGTTTTGACAAAAGTATTGTAGTTATATAAGATATTAACCTTAGGAGAAGCTGGGTGAGAGTACCTGAGGACACTCTCTACTATGTCTGTAGCTTTTTGTAAATCTATAATTACTTCCAAAAAAATAGAAAAGAAAAAAGATGACTTGAGAAGCTCAGTGAATGTCCAGGAGCACCAGAGAACCAGGCGTAGCTACGGAGCCAGGATCTGCTGCCAAGCCCAGATGGCAGAACTGGGCCAACAGACTCTGTGGCCCCCTCGGGGCATAGGCTCTGCAGGCTCTACCACCCACGCTATAACACCAGGCCCTTTCCTCGCTCCCTGCTGCCTCTAGAAACAGATGTGGCTTCCGCTACCACCATCTGTCACCACAATGAAGTCCAGACACCCCAACTCCCCCCATTCCTGGGCTACACTTGCACGACCACCACAGGGAGGGTGGGACTTCAGTACCTGACATTTTGGCTTCTATCCCTCGGTGGGGTTCTACTTCCTAAGATCAGAGATTTCCCAGACATAGGAAGGAGGTTCCAGTGCTCAGTGGCCAGGAAGAAGGACATAGGTCCATTGTGGTGACTGAGTCCATATAAATGGAGTGGTCAGACAAGGCCTCTGGGAAGAAATAGTATATAGATAAGGCATTATTAGAGTGAAACCGAATTTTAAACAAAACTCAGCAGCCTCTGGCTCAGCCCTGTGGTCGAGGTGTGATTCTAACAAATAAAAATGCATCCTTCTCATGCAAACACTGTATTGAACAAGCAGTACACAGACTGTCGGCAAAAAAAAAACAGTACACAGACTGTTTCATTTTTGTCTTTCACTGTCCCCTTCAATCAGCTCTGTGAGGCCATGTCTGCTGAGTTTTATGCCAGGAGCACGGAAAGTCCTCAAGAATTCTCTGGTCACTCGAGTAATACACACAATTCTAGGGTCACTTCAAGTCATAACTCATAATTTCAGATTTGCTTTAAAATGTGTCTAGTCTTACATAATAGTCAAAATTTCAAATTTGCCTTTAAATTGTGGTTTCTTCCCCTCTGATGGTGTGGGTCTGATGTCAGGGAAGTAAAGGGCCTGTCTGCTCTCTTATCTGTGCTTCCTCTGGCTTTTATGGTTTCAATCCCTGCAGAGCTGAAGCACACTCAGGGTGAATAGGTCAGGGGAAAAGAAAAGTTTCTACTTACCTGGTACTGTCAAATTTATCTACAGATTCAATGAGACATGTATCTAAATCTTTGCTGCCTTCTTTGAAGAAATTAAAAAACTGATTTTAAAGTTCATATGAAAATTAAGGAGCTCAGAATAGGCAAACCAATCTTGAAAAAGAAGTATAAAGTTCGAGAACTCACTTCCTAATTTCAAAACTTACTATAAAGCTATAGTAATCAAGACAGAGTGGAACTGGCATAACAGTAGATATAAAGATCACTAGAATAGTATTGAGAAGACAGAAATAATCTTCTCACAGTCAACTCATTTTTGAAAATGGAGTACAGACAATTAAATGGGGAGCTAATAGCCTCTTCAACACATGGTGCTAAGATAAGTATACATTCAATGTAGAATGAAGTTGGACCTACACTTCACACCATATATATTATGTGTAAAAATGAACTCAAAATGAGTCAAAGATCTAATTTTAAGGCCTAAAACTCTAAAACTCTTACAAGAAAGCACAAGCATAAATCCTCATGACTTTGAATTAGGAAATGTTTATTTAGATTCTGCACCATAAGTACAAGCAACAGAAAAAATAATACATTTTTTAGATATCATCAAAATTAAAAAATTTTGTGTTTAATAGGACACCATCAAAAAAGTGAAAAGACAGTCCACAGAAAGGGAGAAAAATTCTGTATATCACATATGTGATAAGGATTACTACCATAATACATAAATATCTCTTACAACACAAGAATAAAAAGAAAATGCCATTAACAAAGGATCTGAGTAGATATTTCTCTAAAGAAGAAAGACAAATGGCCAATGAGTAAATGAAAAGATGTTCAGTATCATTAATAATTAGGGAAATGCAACTCAAAACCACAATGAGATAACCACTTCACACCCAGTGTGATGGCTAAAATCATAAAGGCAAATAATAAGTATTGGTGAGGACATAGAAAAATTTGAACTCACACATTGCTAGCAGGAATGTAAAATGTAGTAGCCACTTTGGAAAAGTATAGCAGTTTCTCAGAAGATTAAACATAGAATTAGCATGTTACCTAGCAGTTCTACTTTCATTTAAAGAGAAATGAAAACATATAAACACAAACAGGTTCATAAATATTCAAAGCACTATTTTATACAATAGCCAAAAAAGAGGTGGGAACAACCCAAATGTCCATTAACTGATGAATGGATAAATAGCTCAAATGGTAAAGAATCTGCCTGCAATGCAGGAGACCAGGGTGTGAGCCCTATGTGGGGAAGATCCTCTGGAGAAGAGAAACAGCAAACCACTCCAGTATTCTTGCTGGAGAATCCCATGAACAGAGAAGCCTGGCGGGCTACAATCAATCGGGTCGCAAAGAGTTGGACACGACTGAGTGACTAACACGCACACATATTCATACACTGAAACATAGACAGCCACAGAAAGGAACGGATACATGCTACAACATGATGCACCTTGAAAATATTATACTAAGTGAAAGAAGCCAACCTCAAAGGCTCAAACACTGTATGATTCTATTTAAATGAAGTGTCTAGAAAAGGCAAATCAATATAGACAGAAAATATAGGACTGGGGGATTTGGGGATAAATGAAAAGTGATTGCTAATGGGCACAGGGTTTCTTTTTCAAGTGAAGAAAATATTCTAAAATTGATTGTAGTAATGGCTGCACAGCTCTGTGAATATACTAGGAACTATTGAATTGCATAATTTGAGTGAATTGTATGGTATGTAAATAATATCTCAATAAAGCTGTAATTTTTTGAAAAGTGCCAGTGTAGTCTTTGCTATGTGAAGACCTGCAATGCTGAAATGAAATGCAGAGTTTTTTCAAATATTACAAAATGCAGTAAGTCTTGGTCTTGTTACAAGTTGTGGTGCATAATTTATTGTTTCTGGGATCTCACACAAGCAGCAGAGAAACTGTAGTCTAGAGTGAGGGGATTTTCAACTAGAAGGTGGTTTGGGAAAAGCCTGACTTCTCAGCATGAGGCCAAAACAGCCAAGTCTCCCACCAGCACAAGGCCTCCTGGTCCCCACTTGCAGGCAGACAGCAGTGTCCCAGCAGACCTGGGTCCTCTGGGGAACAGATCCTGGAGGCAAGTAACCCAGAGCATAACTGTGTACCTAAGGGTTGTGCAAGAGTTGAGACCCTGAGAGTCCATGGTCCTGGGGCACACAACACAAGGACAAAGTGAACTATCATCTTAGCCTAGGTTTCCTCCAAAGCAAAGGGTCCTCTGTGAGACAGACAGGTCTAATAAACAGGACTGGAAATATCCATGCCAGTGTATTTGTGCTCAAACTTTAGGACATTCTGAGAAGCCTCACAATGCATTTTATAGCTGTTTACTCCTGAGATGAATGGAGGAAGTGCTTTTTTGTCAGCTCCACTTGGCCAATGGCCCAGGGCCATTCTGTGGAGAAGTAACTCTCCCTCCTCCTGGGTTGTGCAAGCATCAGGCATGCTGTGGAGACCGAGGGACCCAAGGTAGAAGGTACCAGGCGCACCATACACCCATTTTTAGCTGTAAACATGTTGAGAACAATGCTTACGAGGTGTCTGATGCAACCATCAACTAAGTTCTGTGAGGTCTCAGAATCAGCTACAGAATTTTTAAGGTCCAGCGAAACATGAAAATGTGGAGTCTTTGTTCAAAAACTATTAGAATTTCCAGATGGTGACAGCAGGGCATTAAGCCAAACCGAGGGTTCTTCTGAGAGGGGACCTTGTGTGACTGCACTGGCTGCACACGGCCATGAAGCTGCCTCGTCCGGACTCTGAAGTAGCAAACTACCCTCACTCCGACTCCCATTCTGGCAACACACACACACACACACACACCTGCTACTCCTGACTAACCTCTCCATAAGAAACACCGACATCAAGGAGCTGGATTCCCCGTCCCTGACTCTCCCTCAGCTCTGACCTCACACCCATAAGCAAGGCCTCTGCAAGGGGGTTCCTGACCCTGGTGTGTGCTAAGATTTTTCCAAGCCCAGGTCAAGTCTGGACAAAGGAGAGAATTTTTCATGAAGCTGCTTATTTTTTTCCCATAAGATTCTTTAATATAAGATTTCTTCCTTATTTTAGAAATGAAATTATGGTGATAGTAAGCAGTGCTTTTTTTTTTTTGGCTATAAAAGGATATTAGTTTTTTTGAGTGTCAGTCCTTTGCAGTTTTGGACTTAAGAAAATTACTGGCTCATGAATACCTGGAAATATTGGGTTGGGAGGAAAAAGAGAAGATAGGTGTTCAAAATCAAGAGGTTGGTTGGTGTAAGGTTTTCATGCTACTTGGATAGACAGAGAACAGTGCGGGGTATTTTATCAGCAACCCAGCATCCCTTACTAGATAGAGAACAATCAATACCTCCAAACTCAAGTCTGCCTCTTGTGAGTGTTCTTGATGTGCTTTCTCTTTCATCCATTTTTCTTGCCAAGGCTCTGTAAGGATGAAGGAAAAAGCCCTGTCTCTCGGTCCCTTGGCCTGCAAGGAGATCCAACCAGTCCATCCTAAAGGAAATCAGTCCTGAATATTCATTGGAAGGACTGATGCTGAAACTGAAAGTCCAATACTTTGGCCACCTGATGCAAAGAACTGACTCATTTGAAAAGACCCTGATGCTGGGAAAGATTGAAGGTGAGAGGAGAAGGGGACGTCAGAGGATGAGATGGTTGGATGGCATCACCAACTCAATGGGCATGAGTTTGAGTAAACTCCAGGAGTTGGCGGTGGACAGGGAGGCCTGGAATGCTGCAGTCTATGGAGTCGCAAAGAGTTGGGCACGACTGAGCCACTGAACCGAACTGAACTGTCAGGTAAGAGTACGAGCATTTGGGAAGGTCTTCTTAAAAACACCTCATCTATCCTTAGATCACCCACGTGGAATTCCACTGCCAGTACTGCACTACTTTGGGTAGAATATGAGCCTCTGGTTTACTCAAGTGGCTTAATGTGTTAATTCTTTAAATATGCATTAAAACCCTAGGCAAGAAGATTCAGTAGCACTTAGTATAGTGCCTGATGCATGGAAGATACTGCTCACATATGATGATGATGATATTAACATCAGGTGATTATATCACTAAATCCTAACAAAACCCAGAGAAATAGGTGCTAATATCACCCCCATTTTTTGACTGAAGAAACTGAAGTTCAGAGAGACTGAATAAGCTACTCAAAGCCAAGCTGCTTGGAAGCAGAGGGCCAGGATCCAAAACAGATCCAAAGTCTATTGTTTAAACCCCTGCTATGTCACCAGTCCTGTGAGAACATGAGTGGGGCACCCTGAGGGGCAGTGATGCAAGGCTGGAGGTTGATGCCAACCACACTGAGAGGTGTGGAGGTTGGTGCCAGCGAGTTCCATAATTCTTGCTGCATCACTGGGTGTGCAGCACTTACCTAAGAGGGCTTCAAATGAAAGCA